ATAATAAGTAATAATGATAACAATAACAGTAACAATAAACCTTAACTAGTCAAGATTGTTTCTGTGTATTTATTTTATTGGATTATGTGTGCTGGAGGCTTGTAACAAATATTTTCTTTAAGAGGCAGTGCTTTTTACTTTGCCAGTACACGAAAAGTGCTCACTGAAAAAAAAAAAATTAGTACTTTTTCGAGGTGTTAAAAAACGTAAAGGGAAAAGTTAAATACTTTCATTTTGTTGTGAAAAACAAAAGTTCTGGATTTTTTCCTTTCCTTTAAAACTCAAAATTTAGTTCTGTGAGCATTCTATACCGGTTTCAATATTTAGCTGTGATGTTTATTTAGGTAGTTTATCGCTTATTATAAGCAGTTCTTAAAAATTTTGAAGCCCATTACTGTGTAATCCCATATAATCTTACTTCCTTGTACATATGTGAGATATAAAAGGTTAAAGAAAACTACTAACTTTAATTTGGCAAAGTGCTTTTAATTCCTCATTTTAAGTAGGCTACGTTCCCTTCCATTAAAATCGTATGATTTGAGAATAACTGTAATGATTTGAGAATAACTGTATCATTTCTAGCGATAGTCTCTACTAGACAGGACTTTTCTGAGAAACGAGATTCTGGTAGCACTGGCTTAAACGAGGGATTCCTAGAAAAAAAGAGCCCCGCTGGATACGAAGTCCGGCCTAGCTATAGAAACGATGTTGCGGCTACGCAAGATTTTTTCAAACCTCACCAAAAATGTATCGGTTGGAGCTCTGTCCCGCGTAGAGTCAAACGATTCCTGCTTCTGGACACGGATCCCCAATTCTGAGTTGATAATCGATACGTTTTGGCGTTCAAATCTTGTCCCTATCGAGTGAAATTCCTTAGCTACGGGTTTTCCAGGAAATGTTCGAATGAATTTGAATTTACCTTTCCAGAACGACCATTCCAAGAGCGAGCGAGACGCAAGAGCAGATGCAAAGCGAAAAAGGGAAGAATGTAAACATGGATTCAGGTAGACAGTTAAAAAAAAAAAAAAAGATTTTTTATTCTGATTGGTGGAAAAATATCCGCATTGCTACTCTTACATGGCACTTACACTCACATGCCATTACATGGCTTACATCACATTTCTATGCTTACACGGCATGTGAACCCAAATGCAGATTTTCCTTTCGCAAGTAAAATATTCCGAATTAGTAGAGCAAAGTTTAAAAAAATAATAATAAGCTGAATTCTCAGACAATAACAACAATATCTTTTATACGTTTATTTTTCCTATTCTGAAAATTGAATACAATATTTTCATTTTAATGCTGATTTGAGATATCTTTCTTTTTAGAGTCTTCAAAGATACATCACTCTTCAGAGATTTTTGAAACATCATTTTCTGGCAAATCCTGGTCTTCGACACATGCACTTGTTGCCAAAGCACTCCCCATTAGCTTTGCCATAAAATCTGCATGTGTTGATGCACGCACTTTATTTATTTGTAATGGGCAAGGATTAGTATGGGCGGATGTGGTAGCTGGAAAGATAAAATAACATTACAAGTAACAAAAGGTTTAATCGCGGTAAAAAATAATTCTGCCAAGGAAAACTTGTTAACAACAGCGAGAAAAATAATATTTAAGTACCAATCATAGTGGATAATTCATGGTCCCACATGAAACTTTTTCAAATACGAGTTGGAATCGCAATTTATGATATAAATCCGTAATACAGTTTGCAATTTCAATCGTTCCTCATTCTAATCTCTTAAATCATAAATTTCTGTGAAAGTGAACTGAAAAATTCGCCAAGCACTCCATCGAACGGAAAATTTCCTGGAATTTTGCTTACGTAGTTAGGTTGTCATCTTCAATAGGGAATAGTTGGAAAGGAATGCTTTTAACTCCTTATCAACGGAAGATGGTTTCTGGTCGTTCTTCACCTTGTTTCTGATTGGTTTAATTATCCGCAACTTGCGATATGTTGTATCTCAGAATGAAACACTATGTATAGAAGCATATTGTTCAGATTAAACGGTCTAGAAAGCACACTTCTAAGGAAAGTTGCTTATGCGTCTCGAATCCTTCTGTCCGGTAGAATTTGAGGATTACAGAAAATTTACCCTGTCACAAAAGTTATGCGGATATCATTGTCGTCTTGGCACTCTCAAAACCGGAAGCTCCAAACAAACGTTAAACGTTGGGACTATGCAGACATGGAAAATGGAAGGTGGCTAAATATTACACAAATAAGTTAAAACAGAATGCGAACCGGTATTGAATGTGGATAATTATAGCAACCTGTATAGGATTTATCAAATAATAGCATGGCTAAAGAGGTTTGTTCATAATATAAAACCGAATTCCGAGAAAATAAAAGGATTCATGACAGAACAGGAATTAGCTGAGGCTGAAACTTTCTATGTAAAATATGTTCAAAAAACAGATTTCCAAAGGAATTAATGCAATTATCTCGTGGAAAAGCGGTGAATAGTGCTTCTCGATTGATTGGCCTTGACCCAAATTTGGATTAAAATGGACATCTACGTTTAGGCGGACGGCTACAGAATTCATGTTTTCTTACTAGTCTAAAACACCCCTGGAACGCATCGTTTTACGGAATTTGTTAATTGATACTGAGAGATCTCCAAAGAGACAAAAGGGTTTTAAACAATTGTTATAAATGCAAAAAGTTCATGGCACACCACGGAACTCAGAAAATAGCTCCACTACCTCTCGAAGAATTAAAGAAGCATGTGCTTTGGAGGTTATCGGAGTGGATTTTGCTGGGCCACTTTATGTGAAAGGTATGAATGGAAAAGCATATATTAGCGCTTAATCATGTGCAGTAATTTGCGCCATTCATTTGGAAATGATTTCAGGATAAGTGAGAAATATCTTCTTGCATTTCGGCGTTTCATAGCATGAAGCGGATTATGTAAAGTTATATGCAGTGATAACGGACAGACTTTTAAAAGGGCAGAATACGATCTCCGTAGATTATGGACATCAGTTACCGATGATCAGATTACGGATTATTACGGTGAAAAGGGAATCAGAATTAAATATATAGTAGAAGAGGCTGCTTGGTGGGGAGGATTTCGGGAAAGAATGGTACAAAAGTTTGTTTGAGGAAAAATTCTAGGAAAGGCTTTATTATCTTACTAAGGATGGTTATCTTAGGTTACCTTGTAAACTGTAATAACGAAAATTAAAGCTATCTTTAATTCATGGCCGATTACTTATGTGTATAATGACACTTTGAACCATCTCCTCGAACTACTTCTCATCTCTTAGTAGGTAAAAGACTGACTTATCTACCTGATCTAGCTACATCTACTGACGACGTTACCTGCAGCAGAAATGTCATCCTGAAAAGGCATCTGTACTCTCAAGGTCTGCTGAATAACTTCTGACGCAGGCGACGCAAGGAATATTTACTGCAGTTGAAGGGAGCTCATTACACAACTCCTGTTGACGTCGAGCATAGTTTAAAATGGGTGATGTCGTTTTAACACAAGAGGACAAGTTATCTCGACATATCTGGAGACTTGGAAAGATTGTATACATTCATAAAGGAAGAGATGGTAAGGTGCGCAGTTGCAGGTTAAAGACTTCAAGTAGTATGTTCAGGAGGCCAGTGCAGTTACTTTATTATTTAGAACTTGAGAAGTTGTAAAAGTATCTTGGTTTAATTTCATACGATTTATCTTTATTTCTGATGAACCTCTTCATCTCGGGGAAAGGATGTCGCATAAATTAAACTAATATCATTGCCGTCTTGGCACGGCGCGAGCATATGCAGCACGTATCATAAAGACTTTTAAAGCGGGTAATGAGTTTGTACCAGTAGCTTCTGCTGAGGAACTTCCATGATGCCGGTGCCCAAGTAACCTGCTGTTTCATCCTGTTGCCTTTGTTCCCATCGCCAAGTGGGCGATGCTTCTGTACAAGGAGTGCTACTCATCCTAAAGTGCCATCAATCAGTAGATCTTCATCAAGGCAAAGCAAGCAGCCACACTTCAAAATTCTCTGTTAATTTCCCGGAAAAACTGTAACAAGAATCGAGAATCAAGACCATACCTTCTACCTAAATCCCTATTAAATATCCTGATGGATTTTCGCGCTTTTGCACTTTGAAAAATCAAATTGTCCAAATCTCCAACTACAACCATCCTTGGACTTTAGAAAGCTGTTCAAGAGGAATGGAATAAAATGCCTCTTCCGATACTACAGAAGGCTTTATTGTTTAGGAAATTTCGAGGTAGAAAGACACTGAAGAATAAGAGTTATAAAACAGAACATTTAAAACACAAAACTTTTGCGCAAAATAGTTCTGTAAATTCAATGAAGATCGTCTGAAAAATGTGCGAACAGCCTCTGTACTGGATCAAAGCTTTAAAAGTTTTGTTATATATTGTTTCTCGTATAATTTAAGACTGTAAAGTATATACGTTGCTGCGCTACCAACATAATTTCAGTAAGAAATGTAAATTACCGCAGACGATTATCTGTAAAGAATATACGCAGACGATGTGCGCGCTTAAAAATTTTTTTTTCAGTTATTCTGTAAGTTTTGACTAATAAAGTTGATTGTTCGTTCAAAAATGGCGAGAGTTCTTTAAAACTTTATTACAGACATATACAAGAATAAATATCTGGTGGCAGTGGTGTTGTACGTAAGAATTATGGTGGCGAATATTCATACATTTTAATAGAAAAAAACACTTTTCTGTAGTTTTCGGAGTGTTGTGATGTATCGGTAGAGATATCTTTTCATATGCCAAAATCATGAAACATTTTATTTAGTTATTCAATTTGATTAGCTATTTAACTCTAATTAATTACCGTTTTCTGGTTTTCTTTCAATATAAAGAAGATAATAAAGGTATGTTCCTATGTACAAAACCATGTGAACCCAAATGCACTTACATCTTCTTTTCGTAAATAAAATAATTTGAATTTGTAGAGCAAAGTTTAAAGAATTAATAATAAATAGCTATCTCAGAAAATAACAACAATATCTTTTACACATTTATTTTTCCTATTCTGAAAATTGGATGCAATATTTCAATTTTAATGCTGATAAGAGTTTTTTTTTTAAAAAGAGTCTTGAAAGACACATCACTCTTCGGAGACCTTTGACACGTCATTTTCTGGCAAAGACTAGTCCTTGGCATATGCAGTTGTTGCCAACGCACACTCCACTAGTTCTGCCAAACAATCTGCATCTGTCGAAACATTCTCTTTGATTATATGGGCAAGGATTAGTATCCTGAGCTGATGTGGCAACTGTAAAGATAAAATAACATTACCAGAAACAGAAGGTTTAATCGGGGTAAAAGCTAACACTGCCAAGTAGAACTTATTAAATAAAAACAAAATGAAAGCAGAGGCGAATATATATATATACGATGATATAAAGTTTGGTACTCTTTGCATCTACTAGGTATAAATACGCTTTGCAAAACAAATACGTCATTCCGTTTCCTAGCTTCTACCCTCCAAACAACTCTGCGCCGCTTATGCTGTCCTGTCCAAAATGCCTATATCAGAACAATGCTATATATAAATATAATGTATATCATAAGTTAAGTGTAAAATATTCCTATCCCCCCCGGGATGTTTTCCATCAAAATTAGGGGCGGAACTGAGCTAAATCGCATTGTTATCTGTTAGGTGCTCAAGGCTGCTGCCAACCACAAGCGTATCTAGTACTCCCTGCCACGAGGAACTTCGTGGGCTTGGGCGTCACCATCGAGATAGATAAGGCCTGCGCGCTGAGTTACTACGTCACTGCTAGGGGACCGGTCTTCGCGCAGTTTAGCTTCCTTGCTAAACACCCGTTTTCCTAAACCTATTCTATGAAATTGGTATCTCATACTATAAAATCAGTCTAAAACAAAATTACAAGCAGCAATATAATGTTTTAGCTTATACGAATATGAAATATTTTCATTTTCTTTTGTTATTATTTATTTTCAAAACAAATTATTTGAGAATGGTGTGGTGCTTTTAAAAGCAAATCATTTCTTTGAAGAAAAATTGGTTTTAAAATTCAAGTAGCTAAAATTTTTACTTTGATTTTTCTGCACTGTCTTTGTGTCTCTCGTTGATTCTCATCACCGCATCAAATTTTTTTGTTTCACCTACTACTTTAACAAAATGTTTGCCAGTGGGAACACTTGTTATCGCTCATTCTATAATTATTGCATATTTTTTATATCTATCATATTAATGTAGCAGGATTATAAAACATCAAACGAATGCAAGAGACTGCTTAATATTTTAGACTAACATTTAAATGCCTTATATCAGTCAGAAAATTTTTCTGAATGTAATAATTACTAAATAATAGTCTAGTCTTAAAATTATTTCTTACTTACATATTGTATGTTAATCTGTATTACAGTTAATGTTTTCCTCTTAATGCTACATAATTATTCGAGAAGAATCTGTAGTTAAATTGAGATAATGTTTATTACATAGCTCTGAAGACTATCAATATTAAAATTCCAAATAAGACAGGAAAAAAGTTTTTTAAATAAAGTTATACACAATTTTTTTTGAAAATATTTTAAAAATATACGAAATACTTAAAAAACTTTTAGAAACTGAAATTTCTTGCAAATATTTACATCATACCTATTTAACTATAAGCGTTACCTCTGTTCTGAAAATATTTTTTTTACTACTGCTCCTTCAATAACTGTACATTTTTAAAATTTCATTTTGCAGTTTCGCAATTTAATTACCTTAATATGAATCTTACATACATTACTTTAGAAACTTTTCTATCATTCTCAGAAAGATTTATATTGCATAAAAATTTTTAAACAAACTGATTGCATGATAATAACATACATAAAAGTGAACAGAAGCTATATTAGCTAAACATATGCATTTAAGTTTTCATCATGATAAAATGATATTTAAAAGATTTGCAAAAAACATTGATATTTAAATTTAAGAACACAGTACTCTGTCAAGAATCAAATTTACTCTGCATTTGATATTCTACATATTATGTAATGAATAAGTGTTATGCTTTTAACCCCTTAGGACAGTTCTTTTCATATAAAAGTAGTTTCCAATTAAAATAAATAATCATAAATTTTGCTGACAATTTTTATATTACTAGTGTTAGTAATTATTACAAGGGATGATGCTCCAGATGTCAAAAGTAAACATAAATTCAATTCTTAAAACATAATGAATAAAAAATTACAACTTATAAAAGCCAAAAAAAAAGTTTGCTGAGGGTCTCTTAACCGTGACGTCACAAGCCAGTTTCGTTTCAGAGCGCAGGCCTTATCTATCTCGATGGTGACGGCTTGGGCTGACTATGGGTCAGACAAGTGAGCACTAGTCAATAATAATAAATATATTATCTATGCCCACTGGCAGCACACTAGCGCGTGAAATATAGAAGTATTTTATTTCGGACAATGTACTTGTAGGGTTTATATTTATTTTAACTAACATTTATTTTAAGTTTAAACTATCTTTCCTGTCAAGCCTTACTTTCCCCTGGAACTGCCAATGCCAGAATATGTAAATTTGAGTAGAACGCGCAAGCATTCAAATTATCAGCGGAAGTAGTATGATTTAAATAGAAGGAAACGAGTTCGGTGAGAGAGTTATTCTTACTTTTTTTTAGCGAGCGCGGAGGTAGAAATCGAGAATTGAGAACCCCCGCGTTGCGGCCTATGTGCTTGGCGGGAAGTAGTTGCAATTGTTCCAGTGAGCTTCAAGTCTGCTGAATTAGCTGCGGCTTTTGTAAAACGCGGTGAGTTAGTTATTTTAGAGAGCCTCGTAGTTAGAATATTGTCTTTAATTTCTTTTCAGGTTTTTATTTTTATTTGACTGCCGAGTTGGCACCGTTTGTAAGCGTCAAGAGAACGCAATTGTAATTCATTACGTTGAATAAAAAGGGACTTAAACCCTTTACAAGACTCTGTGGTTTATACAAGCTTTCACAGTCACCCTTGGTTGCGTGCAAGTTGTAGGCGCGCAACGTTATATACATACTATAATTTATGCAGGTTTTTATTCCGAAAACTGTTTAAAATATTACGCCTTCATAAATGATATACTACGAAATTAAAGGGAATGTGCATTTTTACTTTCTTGTACGAAAAAAAAAGGAAGTATTGTAATCGCGAAAAGTTTCAGGCAGCATATTTCAACGAAAATATCCAATTTGACCGCTATCGAACGCATTTTAACGATGTTTTTGCGTGATATCTGGACATAAGAACAGAAATACTCTTTTCCTCCAAAAAAATTATAAAACTGCTTTAAAATGAATTCTAAAGAGAATTTTTTCGTGGCGTCTGTACGAACGTACGTACGTACGTATCTCGCATAACTCAAAAACGAGTAGCCTCAGAACGTTGAAATTTTGTATATAAGACTACTATAACATGTACATGTGCACCTCGTATTTTCAAATCAAATTTACTCGCATTTGATATTCTACATATTATGTAAGAAATAAGTGTTATGCTTTAACCCTTAGGACAGTATTTCATATAAAGTAGTTTCCAATTAAATAAAATCATCATAAATTTGTGACAATTTTTATATTACTAGTGTTAGTAATTTTACAAGGGATGATGCTCCATGTCAAAAGTAAACATAAATTCAATTCTTAAAACATAATGAATAAAAAATTACAACTATAAAAGCAAAAAAAAAGTTTGCTGAGGGTCTCTTAACCGTGACGTCAAGCAGTTTGTTTCAGAGCGCAGGCCTTATTTATCTCGATGTGACGTTGGGCTGACTATGGGTCAGCAAGTGAGCACTAGTCATAATAAAAATATATTATCTATGCCCACTGGCAGCCATAGCGCGTGAAATATAGAAGTATTTTATTTCGGACAATGTACTTGTAGGGTTTATATTTATTTTAACTAACATTTATTTTAAGTTTAAACTATCTTTCCTGTCAAGCCTTACTTTCCCTGGAACTGCCAATGCCAGAATATGTAAATTTGAGTAGCAACGCGCAAGCATCAAATTATCAGCGGAATTAGTATGATTTAAATAGAAGGAAACGAGTTCGGTGAGAGAGTTATTCTTACTTAGCGAGCGCGGAGGTAGAAATCGAGAATTGAAGAACCCCGCGTTGCGGCCTATGTGCTTGGCGGGAAGTAGTTGCAATTGTTCCAGTGAGCCGCACCAAACGTATATGCAACATCAGTCAGCAATCTTTGGTAAATGTGATTTCTCTATATTAGTTATTGCAGATGGTGTTCGTTATGGCTACGAAACAAGCTAGTACATCGCTAACACTGAAATGTATTGGTACTTCTGGGTTACTAAAAATTTTAAACTCCGGTGCTTCTGATTGCAAGCCGGACGTGCTTCCAATTACACCACGAGGAAACGAGTTAAGGAAGGAGAAAACTCTTTATAACACAAGTAAATTAGACAGCAGATATTTTAAATCCCATTATTGTCAAAAATTAATAGATTTGAATGGAAGAATTTAACATTAGATCAACTGCATTTCAGATTTTTGATGCAAAATTCTTCTATTTCTTGATTGTTCCATTTTTGCATTTAAAATTATAATTGACTAGTTGCCTAAAATAGTATGATAAAAAATCAAAAATTATATATATAAATCTGAAAGTTTTCATATTTTATATTACACTCCAAGAGGCTTTTTACTTCCTTGTATGAAGTAAAAAGGAAGTATTGTAATCGCGAAAAGTTTCAGTACACTATGTATATTTCAACGCAAATATCCATTTTCATCGCTATTGAATGCAATTTAACAATGTTTTTTTGTTACATCTGCATGTAAGGACTCTTTTACCCCCCCCAAAAAAGTGTAAAACTAATATTAAATGAATTCTGAAGAGAAATTTTCGTGGCGTCTGTGCGTACTTACGTACGTTCTTATGTATCTCGCATAACTCAAAAACGAGTAGCCTCAGAACGTGGAAATTTTGTATATAGGACTGCTATAATATGTAGATGTGCACCTCGTATTTTGATTGCAATCGGCCGCACCAAACGTATATAAATATATTTATATATATATATATCCACTCTGTTACCCGGCTCAGTGATCTCAGTTTCTTTACTTTTATATGTTTGTAAATTGTACATTTTTTGCTTTAAAAATGGTTGAATTATGTTGTTCTTATCTTCCGGTTAAGGTTTTTATGCCTTTAGTAAATCTGTATGCAATATTTTTAGAATTATCAATAATTTAAAAGTTGTTTAAGTGCCGCTAAGCCTAATAATTTTTCCATGGCGGCCATTGGTTATTTACATTTGAAACCAGCAGAATAGTAGATTTGTTGCCAATCTAGAGAAAGTAAGCTTCGAAATAACAAAGATAACGCCTTCTTTTATTATTGCGAATTAAATCATGCTTAATCCATTCTGGAATTTATTCGAGGAAATAAGTGTTTAAGATTTACTTTATAATTTTCAATGCAGACATCTTGAGTTTTAATGTATTTTTGCCTTTTCGCGAAGTGAGAACTGAATTAATTGAATGAGAAATACTGAATCGTCTGTGAAAAACTTTCTTTTTTGTTTTGTTTGCTTAATTTCTTTTATGCATCGTTTTAGATTTGTTACAGTATTTGAATAAAACATGTGGCACCGATTAGATAATTCTTAAGATGATATAAATTTTGTGCATTCTGACTTAAAAAATGAATGAAATGTAATGCTGTTAAGTGAACCTAGGGCCAGAGTGTCGCTATGGTAAACAAATAGAGTGAAGTTTAAAGAGTGCATTTATTCTATTGGGATTTATACTGTATCAACGAAGTAGATTTAATTCAATCCAGTAATTTTAAATGAAATGCAAGAAAAAATGGGTATAATTTACTATTCCGTACAAGGAAGTCATGTGGTGCATACATCAGATTTTTTGTTTCACGTTTTGTGTGTTACTTTAATATATTAAATATCGTGTTCTTCGTAGTTAAATCATAAAATTCAATTCAACAGCAATATTACAAAATAATTTAAAAAGAGCATATGTTTAGAATTTCCGACACACAGTCAAGCGCATTTCCGATACACGCAAATTTCCGATACACAGACTGGTTTTTATAGCTTTGTAAACCTTGATTTGCTATTATATTTTGTTTACATGGTTTGTTTGTTTTTTGTGTGTAGTGTAATATGGACGCAGCTCCTTTGTGTCATATAAAGAGCTTCGCCTGCCAGTCGGGCTGGACAGCGTCCTAAATAAATAAAACACAGTCTGGCGCGCTGGAGATAAAAAATGTTCTTTTTTCCGTACAGTTTTGCCATTGCTCGTTTTGAAATCGTTGAGTTTCTTAATCAAAAACTCATAAATGCTTTACAAAATATGAAATAGATAAAATAAATTCCAAATTTCAGCTTCCAGATGCCCATATTCGAGTGGAGACGTACGTTATTCAAAATTTGATGTCTCTAAGTACCGTCGTTTTATCACAGTGCGAAAAACATATACACATTTATGCAGTTTCTTCATTATTTAATTTCTTTGAGCATAGATAATAAGAATATAGATATTGGGTGGCAACAATTTGAAAACTGAAACGTCGTCTATAGTGAAACACCACAAAATGACAAACGAAATTTATAGCCCTTCTGGGCAAACACCCTTTGGGCTAATAATTATTTTATAAACGATTATAACAGCGGAGCACATTTATTGATTTATTTATTGATCCCTTTACTGTATCAGTAAAGCTTTACAGAATATTTACAATGCATTTTTCATTTCTGTCGCATGTATAAAACGTAAAGAATTCTCACGTTAGCCTATCTTCGAGAGAGAACGGCGGTTGGGAGTGAAAGCTAAATGATGTAAAATACAGACAATGCGATGAAACGGGTGCTCTATCTAAATTAAGAACTGTGTTGAAGCAGTTGTGTTTGAGTCCCACGTGGTCTAGTGGTTAGGATACCTGGCTCTCACCCAGGAGGCCCGGGTTCAATTCCCGGCGTGGGAAAGACGTTTTTTGCATTAAAATAGCTATTAAAAAGAAAAAATATACTATAAGTGAGTACAGCTGGTGTCATGTTACAGGTCCCGCTTGTGATTAATAATAATAAAGAACTGCGTTTATTGCTTTTAAATCACTTACTTTGTTATTGAATAATTAACAAATCAGATTTGAAAGAAAAATTACATATTGCTTTCCCGAATGGCTTGCCAGTGCGTGAGAGATTTATTTCGGGTCGACATAACACATTTGCTTTAAAACGCTGGGATTTTATTAACTTTGGAAGATAATTAACTTACCGTTAGTTGATGGGAAGCACTTTTCTGATTAAATTTGAAACATTAATATATTTCATTCATACATACATTTATGCAGATTCTCGTTTATTTAATTTATTTAAATATAATAAAACGTTCTAATATTTGGTGGAAACAATTTGAAAAGCGAACCGACAGTTATAGTGAAACAACGCAAAATGACAAAACGAAATTAATAGTCCTTCTGGGCAAATAGCCCCCTTTGGACTAGTAAATAAATAAAAATTTCCTCATTAAATTTGTTAATAAAAAATGCAGTTATACGTATCTGCAAAATTAACAAGCACTACTTGGAAATTAAAAATGTAAGAATTTTAGATATATATTCAAAGAATTTAAAATGCCGTAACACTAAAAATTAAAAATGTAGGAATTATTAATAAAGAGTCCTTGGCTGTTCTTAGTAGGTAGCAAATAAAATGAAGTTCAAATTTAATCGTTAAAAATTTTGAAGTGTATAAAAGAAAGAGATGCTACTCGTGAAAGCAAAAATTATTGGTAAATATTAATAAAAACATTAATAGTCTTACCAAACAAGACGCTCATAACAATAGCCAACAGAACAATAACGCAAACTTTCATTTTGAAAACTAGTCTAGAAAAAGTCTAGAAGAAAAAAAAATTCTAATTAATTTTAAATGTTTTTACTCGATTAAACAATACATATTAAAAAAATATCTTTTAAAAATTTCCAAGGCTATAGTTGTAAATTTTTTAAGAGTTCCTTCTTAGCATTGGTATATTGTAATAATTTTAAGCTTCGCTATTCTTACGGTACATAAGTGTCTTAAATATGTAGCGTGACAACATATCTTGAAAATGAAATTAATTATAGATCTTAGTTACTCAATTCGAAACTATGCTATGGCATTTTGTTGCTAAATCTTTTAATAAGTACGTAAATAATCTAAAAAATAATCTTAGCACGTAAATAAGCTAGAAACTATAACATCTTTCTCAATGAAGCCTCTTTTATATGTTATCTAATAGATTATGCAACATTAAAACAACCTATATGCAGTTTCTAAGTCAGTGCAATGAATTTCTCTGAAAATAGCAATTCGAAGAAGTTCATTCATTAAAATTTTAAACACTTTTGTCTGCCTTTCAAATCTATCAGCTATACATTCGTTCCTATTTGATCTACATCAGCGATTCTCAACCGATGGTACGCAAAAGAAAAATAGGTGGTACGCAAGGAAACAAAGTATTTTCAAGTATTGAATTAAAAAATTAAATACCCCAACATCCTGTCTAAGGTTTTTTTCCTAACACTCGTAAATTTATGCAATCTGAACTTTGTTCAAATCAAAAGCCGCTGTAACGTGTATTTGCGTTGCTAAGCTACCAACATAATTCCACTAAGAAATGTAAAGAAACCGAGCGCAAGAATATCCGTGCAGACGATATACGCCCTTACTTATGACTTACTTTTTTCTGGTCATTAACTACTAAAGAGTTTTCGTCAGTAGATCGCATTGAAGTGCACTAGGCAAAGATATTTTCAAATAAATGGTACTAGGGAAGTACCAACACCCGTGGGCGAAGAAAATTCAGCTGCATGAGCAGGCATTAATACTTACGAAAGTAGGCGTTCATCATAAAAATTGTGCAGTGATAAGCAATGGCATTAAATTGAAGCATGCAGGCAGGTGCAGTGAGTTGTATGGCAAATGCAGATGGTGAGTGCAATATAGCTAGTAAGAGTGCAGGATAAGCAATAGTGAAACATCATGAAAATGGCGCGAAGACAGTTTGAAGCTGTGAATGGCATAAGAGTTCAAAGTCCTTCAGAAGTATGCAGTAGCTAGATAGGCCGTAAAAAGTTCAAAAGTTCGTAGAATCATACGATAAAGTAAACATTCATACAAAATAATTTCTTAAAAAATGAAATAGTAACATAAAAATCTCGAATAAAAAAAGTTTCTTGATTAACATAAGATGCAACACAAATAATAGGATAGAGTCCAATTTCAGAGTTCAAATAAATTTTAAAATTAAAATTTACAAATTACCACCATGACGAATTGTGATGAATTGTCCTTGGGCGTTATGACAGTGTATTCAATGGTTGGATCATAATTCAGCATTTGTTTAATTGCGTTATACTGACTATGCTTCCTCTTCTCAAAGAAGTTGTGAGCTGTCATGAGTATATTGCACAGATGGAATATCCAAGGTCGTTATGAATTATAGAGTTTCTCACGTACCAAGCTGCATTCACATTGCTACGTAGAATTTTATTTTGAAGTATATCCAGTTTTTTGCGCTCAGTTTTATTGGCGATTGCCCAGGCCGGCACTGCATATAGCATGATCGGTCGAATTAGATATATGTAAAGCATTTTCTTTATTTTTAGACTGAGCTTTGATTTTTTGCCGATAATAGGATAAATTGCTATGTAGGCTGCATTTGCTTTGTTTAAGATATAGGAAATATGATCTTTGAAGTTGAGAGACTTATCTATGTAAACACCTAAATATTTGTAGGAATTAGCTACGGGGATTAGAGTTCTATCTAAGTAGATATCAGTATTGACTCTTAATCTTGTTTTGTATCTCCGATAGAGCACAATACAACATTTAGAGGCGTTGAGCTTAATTTTCCAAGTCTTGCACCAGTGATTGATCATACTGAGATGCATTTGTAAATTACTTAGATCGAGCTGGAGACTTCTGGATTCAGTCAGTACTACAGTACTGACAGTTCGGCGCATTTAAGACACCTAGGTTTGCAATGACATAGATCTCGAGTGTGTCCGTATCTCTGGCACCTGTGGCATTGCACAGGGCCAGGTCTGGATTTGTAAGCACGGACTATGACGTCTAGGAGTTGCTTTATTTGGTAGATTTGTTTACCGTTTTCGTTTCTTTTGGCCTCGACTAAGAATATAAGTAGTTTAACAATTTTTCCTTCTCGGAATCTTTCGAGCTGACGTATCTTTTCTACAGGAATTCCGTGTTCAGTGAGTTCTTTGTGAATTATTTCCACGTTTGAGTTTCTAGGCAGCTTCTTAATTACTACTTTGATTGGTTTTTCGGAATTAATTTTGTATGTGTGGAATTGCACATCTCGTTTGGCCAGAAACTCCGTGATTGCGCGATTGTCATCTTTATGTGAGATTGCCTTTTACTTTTTTTACTCCTAAATTTTCGATTTCCTCTTTTAACGTATCCCAGTTGGAGTAAAATCTGAGAGAACAATTGGGGGAATATGTCCAGTGCTTTTTGGCGAAAGTAAATCCTGTGGACTCTGAGTTCGATTCCTGCTCCATGCTGTCATCGTCCTGTAGGTCATTGAACTTATTTTTCTGTACGGCTAGTTCAGCTTCCGATGAATTTGAATGCGTTCGTTTATGCGTGATACGGGGTGGGGTTTAAACCCGTCGCTGTCAGTAGTAATTTTCTTTTTCTTATTCTTAGATATAGTCGGACGCTCTATATTTTTTGCATCGCTTTTTTGATTATATGTTGTTTTGTTATATGCTTTTGTTATATTATATGCTTTTGCCTTTAACATAGCATCGCTTTCGTTATTATTTTCCATAATGGAATTGTTTGTTTGATTTTTATGCATGACGGCCAGTCTTAAGAATTCGTCGTAATCCTGAATGATGCGTTCAAGCTCCGCTATACGTTTGAGATCATCGCTAGTTTTGTTTTCAACTGAGTTGAATTTAAGGAGATCAGCAATAGCTTGCTTTTTTAGGGTTGTGTAAGAGTTAACATTGGGTGGGAGATTAGCTCTCTCTATTATATTAATTCTACCGAAGGCTTGTTCTGCGGCTGAGATTTCATTATTTAAATTTGCTGATGGCTGACACTCACTCATATTTCACCGAGGTAAAGCATAGCGAGGAAATCAAAAAGCAAAAATAGCTTACCTAAATCCAGAGCAGCAGCTTCGGCGAAATACCGAAAGATATACGCCCTTAAAATGTTTTTCAGTTATTCTGTAAATTTTAGCTAATAAAGTTGCTCGTTCAAAATGACAAGATTTCTTTAAAATTTCCTTACAGAGGTATAAAAGAATAAATATTACATATAAAATGTAATATTCTAATATTACACTGCTAACAGACTTCATAATAATACTAATAATGCAAAATAATCCGTTTTTATTTTCCCAAGTATTCTTTTAGACATTAGAAATAACAAAAATTTTCATACATGATGTTTTTGATGTTTTTAAAATCAGTAATAAAAATGAATGTTGTATTTAATAGGAAATAAAACAAGTTCCTATAAGAATATAGCAGTATCTTATTAATTCTTTTAGAGCTGATAGATTTATTAGCATGTCTACGCTTTACGTCGCCATCATTTCTGGGTTCATATTGCTCTATTTTCAATTAGAATAATTTTTTTACGTTGATTTTCTGTCTCTAACAGCAGGTATTTTGCGTTCTTGTTATTTTGTATTCCTCACTTTTCTACGCGATTTGAGAATATCGTCGTTTGTTTTTGAAGAATTTATAATATATTGTGCATTTAAATATATGCGAAAAATTAATAAACAAACTTACATTTTCAGAACGGAAAAATGGCTAGGAGTAACTAAGCGGAAAAGGGATAATTCACAGGTGATGGATCCAGGGCAATCTGCAAGCACTAAGAATACTGAGAAAAAAAAAAATTATAGAAAATATAATGAAAGTTATTTATCATTTGGGTTTACTTGGAATGGAGATAAAATGGACCCTCAACCTCAATGTGTTGTTTTTAGTGAACTATTATCCAATCAATGTATGAAACCATCGTTTCTTAACAGACATCTTGAATCTAAGCATGCCAGTGTAAAGGATAAATCTGAAGAATATTTTAAGAGGAAATTATTGGAGTTCAAAAATAGTAAACAAGTAATGAAAGGTTTTGTTACTTCAAGCTTTGGAAGCTGCCAAGACTGGGCAGACTCATACTAATGGAGAAAAAACTTATATAACCAGCAGCCAAAGATATCATTTTAAAATTATTCAGCGAAAAAGCGGCTAATGAACTTAATAATATTCTATTATCAAATGATACAATAAGTCGACGCATTCATGAAATGGCATATTCCATAGAAGAGACACTTACTCAAAAAATTAAACACAGTGAGTATTTTGCATTGCATTTGGATGAAAGTACTGATATAACGAACTTTGTTAAATTATTGGTTTACGTACGCTTCGAAGTAGGTAAACGAATTGCCGAAGAGTATTTATTTTGTGGATCTCTTCATGACAAAGCAACTGAAATTTTCAAAGTAATTGACAATTTTATGTCTTGGAATAAGTGCATTGCCGTATGCAGTGACGTACCTCAATCTTTAACAGGAAAACATTCCGGTTACTTCTCAAAAATAGAAAATCACACCTGAAACTAAATTCACTCACTGCTAAATTCATCGTGAAGCTTAAGTAGCCAACACAATCCCCGAAAACTTAAAAATCGTTTCGAATCAAGCGTTAAAACTGTTAATTTCATTAAAAGCCGAGCTTTAAATTCAAGAATATTTACGATTTTATGCCAAGAGATGGGCAGCGAGTATGAAGCGTTTTTGTTACATTCCGAAGTAAGGTGGAGACAAAGTTTTAAATCGTCTTTTGCTTAAATCAGAAATCCTAA